AATTACGAACTATGTTTCTATAAAAAAAGCATGACATACTTTAACTCATTAATGTTTCTGCTGACTTATGCCTCCAGGTATTGTCTAGTGGCATCTTGCTCTCTGTAAGGGCGAGGAAAGAATCACACTTCCAGCGTTGGTATGAGCACGGTGAAGCTCTGAATTTCAAAGGCGATGATAGTATGATCGTAAAGACGAGCAGGATGGCCAGCAGGAGAGTCTAACCTCACATTCACAAAGTCCCTTTACTTTCTCAGCGATAATTAGTAATGTATTCAATTGATTTCTAACCCGATACCTTCTGTCCCGAAGGTAACCTTAACACGTAAGTAAAAGAAAGTAAAACTAACCCTGTACCAGGCCGGGAAGGTCCATAGGGTTGTGAGACGTTGAGGGTCCCACATTATCTAGACAATCGGCTCAGAGATGGCGGTAAGGTTGTCAGCGTTACGCGCCGGCCGCGCTTTACTCCCCAGGAAAATTATTTAATTAATTCCTGGTACTCATTTTTGTTAGAGGCTGAGTAAACCCCAGGGCCTAGTGCGGCTGGAAGGATTAGGTCAACTGAAAAAAAGACCTCATCGGGTTTTGAACCCGCGACTTTCCGGCTTGTAGCGTAGCCCCTCCACCACTACCCTACCGAGTGCCCCTAACCTTAACACGAGGGTATCAAAACATATTACGAGTATAGCTGAGATGGTTAGGTGATCAATACGTTTCAAAGTAATGTACTGAATAACTGATTAAAAATAAATATTTGATTTCGAAGAGAAGGTACTGGAAAGTTACCATTCAATGCAGAACATTTTTCTTCTCGTCTGTTGTCTAAAAATGTAAAAATTAGAATCATAGTTTTGTCTGTGGTTTTGTATGGGTCTGAAACGTGGTTTCTAACATTAAGGGAGGAACACAGACTGAAGGTGTTTGAGAACAGGGTGCTGAGGGGAATATTTGGACCGAAGAGAAATTAAATGACACGAGGTTGGAAAAAAATTACACGATGAACATCTTCGCCATGTATAATTAGAAAACTCAAGTCAAGGATGATGAGGTGGTCAGGGCGCGGAGCACGAATGGGGAGAAGTGGAATGCATATATGATATTCGTGGGAGCGCCAAAAGCAAAGAACCACTAGGAAGACCAACACATGGATGAGTGGATAATATTGTAACGGATTTGATCTGCGCTTTGTCAGGCAACAGCTCTGAAAACACGGTCCAACATGCAACAGTAGAGGAAGCTGTGTTTTCCATGTACGAGGTGACGTCACACAACAGTAGGTAACGGTCACGTGACATTTATTTGCTGTATGTCCGTGCAGCTGATGCCAATGGAATGGCTGGGTACTTATCACGTGACGTGTGTTTCGTGTGATGCATGTCTGTTCCTCGGCCATATTGTGCTGAATTGTGTGAACCGACGTTTCGGAAGAACGTATCGCCTCCATCTTCAGGGTAAACGAATTAACGAGCGAGGAACCAGCGTGAGCAGGTGGCTTCAAACTGAGCCGACAGTCGGATGGATGCGATATGTTCCTCCGAAACGTCGGTTCACATAAGATCTACACGGCGCCACATCCCAGAAGACGGAATTCTTCATAGCCACCGCCGTGAAAACGTCAAATCTTACATCCTTAGCAAGATAAGAGTCATATCATCATTTGTATCTCTTCACCAGAGGCTGTTTCTGATCCAAATGAATGCAATCCCAAATTTATTATTCTGTTTCTTTATGCTGGAGCCGGGATCTCTACATCCACTCCCAGTATGCTTTCATGGCGTAAGTGCTTAATTAGATAAGTACAGGGTCAACTTTAGCTTTTATTCTCTACCACAAGTTGGCACCTTACGACAAAGGACTAGTTTCTACAGAAAGTATGTTTCCTTTCCGTTCTATAAAACCGAAATTAACGGCCGTGGGGATTCGCTGCGCTAACCACGCGACACCATTTATCCGCTAAAGTTGGCACTAGCTTCGTCGACAAGCGGCGGTCGCTCGACAGGCGGACTACAGGCCATGGAGTTAAGTTTCTTTTTAGTTTAATATGTTTCCTTTAATAGAATGCCGGGACTGGCGCAGCAGTTCGTAAACTAGACAAGAAAAGTGAGTACGGTGAAGCATATGGAAGGACTGTGACAGGCTCCAGTCCTTTCACGGAATTCAGTTATTTCCTCTACGACTCTCATGAGGGCACTGGCCTACATGTGATTGTCTTTCTTGCTTTCCACAGCTCGGAGCCCTTAAAAACATTTGTGGGAAGGAACGCACGCGGTACATGTCACAGTCCGACTGGCTCCTTCATGGCGTTCTGAAGAGTAACAGGCGAATGTGTTGGGCGTAACAGCCCGGAACGGCATAACATGCGTTCATTTCCATGAATGCATTTCACTTTAAAGCTAAAAGTACGGGCCTATCTGAACTAATTACTATTATTAAACTGGAAAAACTCCTACAAAGACACGGCTGAGCCTTACGATACTTGATTTACAAATATAAACTACTTGATACATTTATATTTATTTAAACTTGGTTCATTTAACGACAATTGAAATTTGTAATATTATGTACCGTCAAATATTAAAATGACTAGAGGATAATAAATTTGAAAAGATGTGATCGTGGCCTATTCCAATATTTGCTTCGAAAATATTCCAGGGTAGCTGGTCTCCGAACCGGGATTTGAATCCATTATCTTCTATATGCGAAACAGGAAAGTCCACCTCTTGACAGCGACAATCAGTTAGGTGTTAAAGCACTCACTCTACATTCCAGGTCTTCTAAAAATATACGTTACCGAAATAATTAAATTGCTTACATTTATATAACGTATGACCATTTCAATAAATTTCTGTATACCCTTTTCACTGCGGGTATATTAGATTTTATTTTAACTTAACGTTAATGAATATCAGTGTGGCACAGTTCAAATATTTAGGATTGATCTGGCTTAGGATAAGGACAGTGGAGGGCTCTTATGAACATGGTAATGAACTTTCGGCTTTCATAAAACGTTGGGACGCTCTTGAGTAGCTGCGTGACTGGCAGCTTCTCAAGAAGAGCTCACCCCTATGAAGTTAGTTAGTTAGTTAACTTCATAAATGACGTGTACAACACGGACATTTTAATTTTCTAACCAAGAAATGAGAGTTAGCTCACTGTAAGAAACAAAGACAGGACTAGTCTTAGTTACCACGAAATTAATTTTCGAAAACGAGGGACTGTGACGTCACACATCTGTTCTATTACACTCTGCCGCGGCATCTCATGATAATAAGGTTTACAACTGCCAGACAAGTATCGTTACACGTTTTAATGGGAAGCCTTAATGGCCCAACCGAAAGCATTAGCTCTACGGAAGTGATGCAAATGGAGACACAGAACTCTTTTATGTGACTACTAGAGACAATGACTCTGACAAAAGACAGACCCGTGCTCTCGTCAGAGAGGGCGCCCCACAATAACAAGACCTAAACAGTCAAACAAAGAAATATCTGGTCATGAGCCCCAGATTGGGCTCGACACCTAGATTGATTGATTGGTTGACTGACTGACTGACTGACTGACCGTCAGTCGCAATGTGACTTTGACTCTGACTTGACTTCTAGAGGATTCGTCAGGAAGACGTCGTTCAAGGCAGTTCAGCAGTTGATGTGTTAACCTTGAGAGTGTTATAATTGTTTGTGTGTCATAGATACAGCACTCTTGAAAGTGTAACAATGAATTGTAGTTACGACGTGTGAAATTATCCAATAAATCGAAGTATCAAGTGCGGAACCCGCTATTTACTGTCGCGTTACTAGGATACACGCGACAATATGTTGGCAACGGCACGGAAAGAAATTGGTGCAACCTATTTTAAGGTACATTTAAGGTAAACTGAGATACACCAAGTAAACTAGATTAGGATAGTCGGTTTCCGGAATAAGACTCGAGTTTAACTCCAGTTTCATCTAGGAAAGTTTTAAGGGCTGTTAGTGCGACAGTGATTTTGAATCCTGTGTAAGCTCAGCCAAGCGAAATAACGGCGAGGAACATCACGAAGAGTTTCCTCATGGGAAGGTGTAATTGGTCAGTAAATCACTCCTCCTTTACCACAACGAACTGGAAGACTCTTCCATCGTGCGGTTGTGTTGTCATTACTGCACTTACGAAACACCCATATATTTCCCTGCTGTTACGTCGCTTCTTCGTCCGCATAACGCACTAAGGAGTCAGGTTTCATTAAAGAACACAGGGTCGCATGAACGTCACACAGGAACCTGCTCTGAATGAATATGTGACGGTGCGAAGCCCTCAAGGGAGCACTGTGATCACCAAGTAGAGAAGACATGAACTTTCTTTCTTTTTAATTCATGGGGTGGGGTGACAGTGAGTTCACTGGGTACTTCGGCCACTATTGGGCCTACTGTATTATCCCCAAATGATTGTGATGATATACGTGAACGGAGCAGATAGTGGAAAGAGAATTTGCAGAGGATCCGGCCACTATTGGGCCTATTGTATATCCCCAAACGATTGTGATGACAATGTGAACGGAGCAGTTAGTGGAATGAGAATTTGCAGAGAATACCAAAGTAATCGGAGAAAATATGACTCAGTGCCACTCTGTTCACTACAAATTCCATACGACCTTACCCTGGATCGAACCCAGGTGGCCGCGATGGGAAGCCGATGTTTAACCAATTAAGCTATAGCACGGACATACACTCTTAATACTCAAATTTATATACCTCATTAATTCGTAACTCGCCTTACTTTCTATTTAATTCTTTATTTTTGTGGGCTACATGTTTTGGTTTTTCAATGTCACCAGGCCTCAAACATCAAATACGTAGATGAAACAATTACAATATGTAAATGTACGACACATTTTGCGAACTGCACTTGTCTCACAGAACTCATAAAAGTTAAGTGTTAAGCATATATTATAACGTGAGAAAACATGCACTATAAAATTCTGCAAAACTTGACAGCTATTTTCACTTGACTGAACAATCTACCTTGATCTGGTACACCCAAAGTGGGGTCTCCGTGCCCGCAGAGAAGCCCACTTCGCCTCCAAACACGTAGATATTCTCTTTGTAGGCAACGGCCGAGTGTTCCTGGAGACAAGGAGGCCGCTCTCCTGAGGGTTGCAGTTCCTCCCACCGGCTCTCCGCTGGCAACAGGAAGTAAAGACATGTCAGTATACTCGGAGCACAAGGCACTTCAAGGTTCCGATGGATTAACCTTTATAGATATGGGTAAGGTCGTAGTTTCCTGTTCCTAACTGCATAAAATCAGCAGAAATATAGAAAAAAAGAGCCCTACTTCAGAAGCTAACAGTTGCTTATATAATCAAGAAATTGTTTATCTTTCGTGAAAAGGAAAGGATCATTAACGCGTGCACAACACTTCGCAAAGAGATTTTAAACTGGGCCAGATTAATCCAACCCACACACAAATAACCTACTTCTTGAACGCACATTTTAACATAATCTTCCATGTGTCCCTAATTTTCAGAAATTATCTCTTCTTTTTAGGTTCCTTCATTAGAGCTTTTTAACAATTTATCGTCTCTCTTATGCATTCTACAGGACACGCCCGGTATGTCCTTCTTGATTTCCAAACCGTAATATTTTGTGCAGGACTGCCTCTGTGGTCTAGTGGTCAGAGTCCCGGGTTCGATTCCCGGCGCTACCAGATTTTCTGAGAAGTAGAGGGTCTGCAACGGGATCCACTCAGCCTCGTGAGGATAACTGAGGAGCTACTTGAAAGGAAAAGTAGCGGCTCCGGTCTAGAAAACCGAAATTAACGGCCGTGGGGATTCATTGCACTGACCTCGCGACACTCTCTATCCGCTAAAGCTGACACTAACTTCGCTGACAAGCGGCGGTCGCTCGGTCGGTATAGTTCGCTTGCGGACTAAATCCACGGAGTTTGTTAATTTGTTTTGTTTAATATTGGTGAAGAATATAAATTATGAATTTCCTCACTATGCAATTTTCTCCGTCGTCATATTTATTCCTCTCTCTTTGGTTCAAACGTGCTGCTTACCAGGCTGCTCTCAGTCAGCTTCAAGCTATGTTCTTCCCTCAGAATGACAAAACAACAACAATTTCACAGAGAAAAAATTATGTATTTTCATGTTCACATTTCTAGATTGGAGACGTAAAGATGAAATTAGTAATGATAGAATTATAAATATTTGAAATCAATGCGACACATACCAAAGAGGGTGGTCTAGAGGTAACGGTTTACATTTGTGCTCGATAAATTCTCGTTCATATTCTCGAAGTCAAACCCTCATGGAAATGCAGTGATATCACCTCGGTCAGGCTTCCAAATCCTTTCCAGCTCATTAGCCGTTTTGCCATCCTACGCCGTATAGTCTAAATACTGGCAGGGTCGTTAAATATCTCCCCCTCCCCAAATAATGGTGCCCCTTGGTTTCGGTTTCGGAAATCGCAAATTTGTGTCATGATATATGAGTAAGCAGACGTCCACACGACACTGCGGAGTTAGTGAAGCTTTAATCCGACGCAAACAAACGCAACTTCCAGCTAAAAGCAACTGAAGTCAATCTGATCGCTCGACTTACACGTGACGGCGATGTAATGCAATTTAGTAGCAAGCCTTGCCTGAGGCGATCCTGTTAATACAGCATTTGTTGACGCTGCAGAGAACGCTACAGTTTGAAGGCAGAAGTATGTCAAACAAACTTCATTATCCTTCATATACAAGCGGATAAACAGAACTGGTATCACGGCTGTTTGCATCCGGTTTGGATATCAGCCGAGGGATCAACCATTTCGCTGCTGACGATTTTCCTTAAACTAATTCCATGAAGCAGAGTCCTTCTTGAGAAGCCGCCAGTCGCTCAGCTACTCAAGAACTTCCCAACATTTTATGGAAACCGAAGGTTCATTACCGTGTTCGCAAGAGCCTTCAATTGGTCCATATCTTGAGCCAGATGAATTCAGCCCACATAACCCTATTCTATTTGTCTAAGATACGTCTTAATATTCTTCCCACATCTATGTCTAAGCCTTCCAAGTGGTCTCTTTCCTTCTGACTCCACCCCCAAAGCCCTATATACGTACATTCATGTTCACCCTCATGCTTGGCACCTGCCTAACTAATTCTCCTTGATTTTGTAATTATATTCCCGGGAATTTTCCTCAGTCTCTACAAACTAGTGCCGAACTGGCCCTTCCAGTTCAGTGTTCATCTCATTCAACGCCAAATAGTGGTTTTTCAGCAAATACAGTGTCGCTGCCTAACCTAGAACTAACAGCGTACAGGTCAGAGCAGAGGAAGTGTGAGTGATGGAACCCATACTACAGTCTACAGCGTCTACAGCTTAACCACGCTGTATAAACGACAGACGGTGTAACTACAAGGAGACCATGCGCAGGAACAGGAACGGAAATGGGCGTGAGATAGTTTCTATGTAGTTATGGACTGTAATAAAAGAGAAAGTAAAAAAGGACGGACACAAAAAAAGACAAAAAATGAGAAATGGATAAAGGAGACAGAAGATAAAGCAAAATAAATAGAGACAAAAGAAGAAAAGGAGATGGAAGGAAAGAGCAACTTCTGTTGCTTTCTTGTGTGATCTGAGCTTCTTACGGCGGTGACTCTGAACATCTCGATGTCAAGTATATAGCCGTTGTGTATTCCGCCGTAGGTCAGGAATCTTCATAACCACAATCCTACAGAGTAAATGACATCTGATAAAAGTTTACTGATATTCGACAGATCGTGCTGCCTCTGTTTTCAGGATCGAAGAATAAGCGATGTAAGCTAGTAAGAAAGCAGCAAGCTGACTCTTCGCCCTTGAAGATGGAAGTATTATTATTATTATTATTATTATTTATTTATTTATTATACTGCAATTAGGTTTTAGCCCGGTGGCAGTAGTACACAATAGGATACAACAGACAAGTAACACACATTACACTAAGTGACAACACGTTCAAACAAAACACAATACACAAAACACAACAATAAGGACCCACTACTACAATGAATACAAACCAAATACGATTAACAACTACAACAATTACAGAGAAATACAAACAACTGCAACAAATACAACAACAATATATTCCACCGAAACGTCTGTAAACTTCAATCAAATTACATATAGTCACATCCCAGAAGACAGCGCTCTACTCTCTGCCTTCTTGTTTACTTCTTCTAAGCGCTGATGCAACTCATTCACATGCTTAAGATAAAAACATGTCCATGTGAATGAAATTCTGATCCGTTACTATTGTTCCTGGAGGAACGCTGTAGCGTAGTTGGTTGAGGCACTGTGCTACAGACCGGAAAGTTGCGGGTTCGATTCTCGATGTCATTGGATTTTTCAATTCACCTAATCCTTCCAGCAGCCTTGTGGCCCTGGGGTCGACTCGGCCTCTAACAGAAAATAGTACCAGAGATTTTCCTGGAGGGTAAAGGGCGGCCGGCGCATAAGACTGACTACCTTACTGCCATCTGCAAGCCGATTGTCTAGAAAATGTGGGAGCCTCCACGTCTCACAAACCTATTGGTCTTCACGGCCTGTTACAGGGATAGCTTTACCATTTACTATCATTCCCCAATAAGAAGAAAACCAAAACGGAAAGACAGGTGAGTTGGAAAATATACACGTATTAACCCTAGCAACAAACACTATGAAAGAAAACAGAAACGTATTTTGATGTTGCTTACGCCTTCGAGTGTCTGACAAAACTGCAGACAAACCGAGATTTTAGATTGGTTTCCGTAAGGATGGAGATGACCATCGAAGAGGAGACAAACAGGTTAATTTTGGGACCTCATGTTCCACATATTAAGTATAGAAAAATCCACACTGAATTGGAAATTATCCAACCGCAGATATGTTGCATGGAATTTCAGCTTGTAACCACGAGGAAACCTGGACCCATTAGCCCTGTACGAGTTCAATCACAATGCATCAGTAGTGGTACCCCTCCCATTCGTCTGCAAATGGTGTAATCCTAGCTCATCATTGATCTGATAGTCACATCATGCTGCAGGCATGTTTGCATTAACTGGATGGACACCAAACAGCATTACAACATGATTTTCGAGACGGAATATGGCCCTAGGCAACGCACTACAGTGCTTCTGTAATCTAATCGATTATGCTGGCTGATGGAGGATTCATTCTTCCGTAAAGACATCGAAAGTGGGGCATCGCTGGCTGGTACCGGTAGACGCGGTGTAGTGGTTGTCACTCATGCTTCGAATTCGTGGAAGGGGGAAAAGCAATTTCGAATTTTGAACAGGAAAACAACCTTAGATTCATTTTTCTGACTTAAACGCTTGATACTTTTTTCTCCATTTACTTCCAAATTCATCATTCATAATCACCCTATCACCGAAAGTCGAGATCGGATAATTATCATTCCTGTTTAGTGTTCGGGAAGTCCCAGGTTCAAATCCCAGACCGGAGACTGGGGTTTTCGTGGATTTTCTCAATATCTCCAGGCAGTTGCTTATATATTATTTCAAATTGGGCTTTAGTCCCTTCCTTCCACAGCTTTTAGATCCATCCATCCAAGCGGCAACAAATACGCAAGCAACAATCGAATAACTTCCGTTGCTACGCAACGGCGCTGTAAACGCGCCTTCTTGACAATAGAGAGGCTGTGTTTTCTGAGAGATCCGTGCCGAGGGGTTATAAAAAGGTCAAAGATCGTTTGAAGCAGTCGAGTTTCGAGACGGTNTTGCTACGCAACGGCGCTGTAAACGCGCCTTCTTGACAATAGAGAGAGATCTGAGAGATCCGTGCCGAGGTCAAAGATCGTTTGAAGCAGTCGAGTTTCGAGACGGCAGCCTGCCAGGATATGAGCTTGGGAGCAGAGGAATTGAACTCTGTCCAGTCTTCGGAACTGGCAGTTGCAGAATAATGGCAAGAAAGGAATTAGTCTGTGAAAAAAAGACTTCATATGTGATTTGAATTTAACAGTGAGACTGTTAAAAATCCGTTGCCAGGATACGGCTAGTGAAGCCTGAGAACCTCAGTTCGTGTGTAACGGTTAGCTGTAAAGTGTGTAGATCAGAGATAGCCCTGAAATTACGTGTAGTCCCGAGATGAATGTATAAGCTGCCAATAAATCAAATCACGTACAAACTCCTACATATGACAATTTTATTTTACGATAT